TGCCCTTGCGGAGCGCGTCCTAGGCCGGGGCGGCCCACCCGTGACCAGGCCACGCGTGGTGCCAGGCGACACGGAGCCCTCTCGGTCACACACTCTGCACCGCGGCTCTTTTTGTTCCGGCCAGGAGCTCTGGCACAAGTGGTTAGAAAGTCTCGGGCGCCATCTAACGGGAGCAGCACAAAGTTGCCGCAGGGTGGAGGTTGGCACCAAGGAGGCGCGGGTCCCGCAGAGGGGCCTCTCCCGCACCCTCCTCCACTCCCCCCACTCGGGGACCGGTCACCGTCCCACACAGAAGGTACACGCTCTCGGGCTCTCCGGAGTCCCCCAAAGCCCGCCTTCCCAGGGGCCGGGAGCCTGCCACCTGTGCCCGTCCGTCCATCCGCTGGGCCAGCCCCTGCCCTGCCCTTCCTCCCGCGTTCCCCAGGCCACCGAAGAGAAGCTCTTGCACCTGCCTTATAGGGCTCTGGAGTCCTTCAAGCTCTTGTTTCTCTTGGCCTGTGATGGAAAGTCCTAAGTAGCGCTGGGCGGTGCACTTGTTCCGGAAGGATGAGCCCCCTCATGAAGAGGTCTGCAGCCCAAAAAGGGTCCAGGGGATGCCAGGCCCACTGGGGGATCTGGTCCCGCTGTGGCCTCGGACAGCATCTCCTGGGAGGGAGGGGGTGGGTTCTGGGCAGCTGCCCTGGACACTGGGAGCTGCTGTTTGGAGGAGCCTGGCAGTGGTGCACCCTGGAGGACAAAGGCGGGGCCACAGGAAGGGATGGAGGGCCGGGACCCTCCTACCCAGAAAGTGAGCTTCAGCTTGAGGAGACCCAGGCCTTCCCCCAAAGTTCTAGGCCGCTGTGCGTGCAGTGGTCATGGAAGATATACATCCGGGCATCACCCCTGTCAGCTCAGGGCATCACTGCAGCCTGGGAAGGTGGCGAAAGGTCTGGTGTCTCCAACCAGCTGTGCCACAGGATGAGAAGGGAGGAGACATGCCTGCCAGCGCCCCCCGATCCCCCTGGGTCCCAACATCTGGGTGACCGATCTCCACCCTCCAGACAAAGGGCCGGAGCAGGAAAGGCCAGTGGGCAGCCAGTCGTTGCCTGGCGATGCCCCTGAGGTGTCCGGGCTGGAGTCTAGATGCCAGGGGAGAGCAGTGCTCTCACCAGTCTGGACCCAGAGTAGCTGAGAGACTGAGAGCCTTCTGCCCTGCCTTCCTGGGTTTACAGGATGGAGGTGAGAATACCTGTTCCTCCCTCAAGTATGTTCTGAGGTAGAACATGAAGACGGACATACACATTAATTTATTGTGCTAAAACACACATAAAACTTACTATCTTAACCATTCTAAGGGTACAGTTCGGGGCATTAGCTACACTCCCAATGTTGTACAATCATCACCACCATCCATCCACGGAACGTTTTCATCTTCCCAAAATGAAACTCTGCACTCATTAAACACCGCCTCCCCACTCCTCCCTCTGCAGCCCCTGGCGACCGCCTTGCTGCTTTCTCTCTGTCTGAGTTTGAGCACTCTAGGGACCTCAAATAAGCGGAATCATGCGGCATTTGTCCTTTCGTGTCTGGCTTATTTCACTTAGCCTGTTTTCAGGGTTCATCCATGTTGTAGTATGTGTCAGAATTTCTTTCCTTTTCAAGGCCTGATAATATCCCAGTGTATATATCGAGCACATTTTAGGTATTCATTCACCCATTGATGGGCCCTTGGGTTGTGTCCACCTTTGGGCTGTTGTTACTAATGCCGCCATGAAAGTGATGAACACACATCTCTTTGAGATCCTACTATCAGTTCTTTTGAATACACACCCAGAGTTAGCTTTGCTGTACCCTCTGGTAATTCTGCATTAAATTGTTTGAGGAACGTCCACACCATTTTCTACAGTGACTGCACCATTTTGCTTTCCCACTAGCATTGCGTCATAGTTCAAATGTCTTCACATCCTCACCAACACTTGTTACTTTCCATTTTGTTTTTTGAAATGATAGCCTAATGGGTGATACACAATTGTGGTTTTGAACTAGTTTTTCTTTAAACATTTAAAAAATTGATTTGAGAGAGAGAAACATCAATGTGAGAGAGAAACATTGATCAGTTGCCTCCTGTACGATCCTAACCAGGGATCAAACCTGCAACGAGGTATGTGTCCTGACTAGGAATCAAATCCACCACCTTCTGGTGTATGAGACATCACTCCAACCAACTGAGCCATACGGGCCAGAGCTGAAACAGTTTTTTAAGTGTAAATATACAAACATAATGAAATACTACTAATAAGGCCAGGTTTTAGCAGAGTGGCAATTATCTCAAATTTCTGATGTTTAATTTTTGAGTTTAGAAAAGAGGAGAAATGGCCAAGACAGAAAGGTATGCAGAACTAACACTGTTTGGTGATCATGTTTTGGCCTCTCTTTCTGATCGCAAGCTGGAAAATAGAGAGGCTGTCACATTAGTGAGCCCTATTCCATTCTTTGTTTCTAGAAGGAGACCAGAGAGTCACCCTCCATTAAGTAGAGGGCAGAGAAAAAGGTCATGCTTGACTTTTTCCTGGATTTTTTAATTTATTCCAATTGAAAGAGAAGCCAGTGTCCCAGACATGGGCCGTGGACTGGTAGAAATCTGTAAAGCCCTTTTCTTCTGGAAAGGGGCTGAGAAATAGCAAGTGTCCAAGTGCGGGGAGAGGGGCTGTCGTTCTACCCCCTGAATTCCCTAGTTTGGGAGCTCTCTCACGTACAAAGTGCCCCTCCACTTCCTTACGTGGCCCTATTTGCTGGTCACCCCAGGCCAGCCTTGTTTACTGGTCATGTGTACTGCATGTACGAAGTGCTCTAGTATCCTTTCTTTTTCTTTTTATATCCCAGCCTGGGGAAACAGGTTAGTTTTCTTTCCTCCCACATTTTAAGTGAAAATATCCAGAGTGGGTACAAGATAATAAGTGGAAAGGACTGTGGTGACAGGGTCGTGGCCGAGGCTCCGAGCCTGAGCTTTTCCTTGGCCACCGAACCACACTGGTTCTTTCCTCTGACAGGAGGGTTGGCACCGGGCAGAGATGGGAGAAACCAGAGCAGCAAGCCTTGGCAGAGACCGCGACCTCCCTTCTGCCACCAGGCCAACTGTGCCTCTTGCTGAACCGCTGAGGCTCTGTGGTGTTTAGCTCATTGAGATTCCTGGCCATGGAGGAAGGGGCTGGGAACCCCTTTGGGAGGGGTTTGTGGAGGCGATTCCCAGTACCTGGGCTCCCGCCTCTGGCTGGCCCTCCCCTTTCCTTGCTGGTCTGCTCCCCAGAGAGAAGGACGGATGGCACATCAGGAGCTCTGTAACTTAAGACAAAAGAAAAAATCACTACTGTGACACAGGCGCGTGAGCGCACACACAATCATTTCCTCTTCCCTGGGTGAAGGTACTTCCATATGAAAGAAGATGCGGAAGGATTACGTTCTGGGCGCTGGGGCCTGGAGGCCTCTCGGTATTCTGAGAGGGCTTTGTAGTGCTTGGATCCAAGCCATTTGTTTCTAGAGAGAATCACGTTGGGAAGGAGCTTGCTTTTTCCATTTGTAATGGCTTATTAAGTATAAGCATCTCTCTTTTCTCTGTTTATTGAGTGATTAGCTCTCCCTCCAACTGACCCTGCCACGGGAGATCGTCAAAGTGTATCCTTAACACACAGTTACCCTGCAAAATGTCCTTCCCGTGAAGCCAGGGACCACAGACAGACTCGCGCTTCATGTGGGCGTTTTGATAGTCGGTAGGGAGGATCTTCACTGAGGGTAGAGTGTGATGACACTGGTGCACCCTTACTTAAACAGTCCCAGCCCAGTCTCAGTGCAGAGGGAGAGCTGGCGGTGGCTGGATGGAGGCGAGCCTGTGTTCCTGGCTCGGATTCTGCAGCCTCGAGTTCAGTTGCTGTCACCAAATCTTTTCTAAGTTATTCAGTGACCCTTCCCACAGGAGACTGTCCTTCCTGCCCTTGTGGGACAGGACAAGGATGAAAGGAAAGGTTCCTCCATGCACCTGGGTGCAGGCAGCTGAAAAATCTGGCAGCTTCTCAGCACTAAAGATTAACCAGAGCCTGGCTGATCAGTAGCCGCGCCTGGCTGAACCGCTGGGTTCCGGCAGGTCAGTGTAGGTAAGGACAGACTGGCTGTGCTTGCAGACCCACCCTTCATCAGCCAGGTTCCAAAGGTCACAGTGGAAACAAAATCATGCAATTTACTCAAATTTCAGAGACTGAATTCAATTGTGGTGTTTGTCCTGGAAATGAGGATGAATTATTTCCAACTAAGTGAATTCTGGTTCCTTGCTGCCAATTTCTGCACAGTGACGAAGAGGGAAACCTCAGACATATCATGTATATTACCATATACATGTTGTCCACCTGCACATATCGGGATAGACTGCAATGGAATGAACACTCTGCACCGCCCCCAGGTTGTCAGGGCTGCTTGGTGCCTGGCTCTGCATCGTGCCTTTGAGGAAAGGCTGCCCTCTTCCTGGCCCACAGTGGAGTCACGTGTGGGTGTCGTGCTCACTGCGTGACTCAGCATTATTTTACACCTGATAGAATACAGGACTGAGGAGACCCTGATAGCAGAGTTGGCATCTCATCTAGGACTGTTCAGTTTGCCAGTAACCCCATCCTTGCCATGTCCTGACGGAGCAGACCCCGCAGATCCAGCGCTAGGAGGGTTCCAGGTGCGGATGCTGTTTTGTACTTCCTGCCGCTGCCTCGATTTCGTCCCTGCAAGTGTTCATGTAAGTCCCCTCTTTATATATACACTGAGTGGCCAGATTATTATGACCACCTGATGTTTGTAGGCAAATTAGCTATAATTTTGCACTGAAGTTGCTAGGGGCCAGACCCACTGCCCCCACCAGCTTGAAGGGTTGTACTCATGCATGTGGGTTGCATGCTTTCATGCTGTTTCCGCCAAATTCTCACTCTGCCATCTGCATGATGCAACTGGAAACATGATTCATTGGACCACATGACTTTTTCCCAATGCTCGACTGTCCAATCCTTGTATTCCTGTGCGAATTGGAGACATTTTATCTTGGTAACTGCAGACAGCGAAGGTGTTCGAACAGGCCTTCGGCTTGCATATCCCATACAATGCAGTGTACAGCTAATTTGCCTACAAATGTCAGGTGGTCATAATAATCTGGCCACTCAGTGTATATGTTGATTTCAGAGAGGAAGGGAGAGGGGGAGAGAGAAACATTAATGATGAGAGAGAATCCTCGATCAGCTGCCTCCTGCACACCTTCCATTGAGGATTGAGTCTGCAACCTGGGCATGTGCCCTTGACCGGAATCGAACCAGGGACCCTTCAGGTCATAGGCCATCACTCTATCCACTGAGCCAAACCGGCTAGGGCATAAGTCCACTCTTGTTTCTTCAGGAAGCGACATCAAATTCGTCCTGATCTGCTGGTCTCTCCATAGGAAGGAATGGATGTCAGAGCCCAGAAACGAAAGAGACTCCCCACTCTACAAAGATAAAGGAGCTGTTTGATCTCAAGATTCACTGCACTGTGTCCCAGATGTGTGTGTGTGTGTGTGTGTGTGTGTGTGTGTGTGTGTGTTTGTGAGACACCATGTGTGTCTTGAGTCACACTGGGGCCCTGACCACAGTTCTTCCTCCTTGGGTGTCCGGGAGACCAGGCCCTAGAGGGGAACACGAGCTTGCATGGGTCCAATGGCAGCAAGCCCGGCCAGTCCTGAGCTAAAGCTCTAGACCTCAGACCTCAGGTGAGAGCAAGTGAAAGAGGCAAGAAAGGTGCCGGTTTGTGTTTCTTGTACTTAATTTTCTGTTTGTTTTCCCTTTTTTTTCAAGTCTTAGTTTTTTAGCTGCTCAGTCCTTTGGCGATCGATCGTGAGGTGGGGGGGGGGGGGGGGGGGGGGGGGGGGGGGTGAGGGAAGGGTAGGGGAGAAGAGGGCGCGCAGGGGCCCTGGCTGCGGAGCCTGCTCCATGGTGGCCTGGGCTGGTTTCTTGGCAGAAGGCCTGCCCGCAGCCACTCTGGTTAAACCAGACTTGCTGAGGGTGCAGGGGCCAGGGCCGGGTCACAGAAACAAGTCACAGTGTGTCTTCCTGAAGCAGCAATTTACTACATGATTCTCTGGGGGACCAGTTAAGGAATTTAACTGATAATTTCAAACTACACATTTATGTTAAAGCCAGCATGGATGATTATACAAAAGCATACAACATTATCATATGATCAACACCTCAGACCAAGACTTCGGTGCATTTGCGAGTGGAGAGGGTGGCGGAACCAGCACGCCCATCTCCCGTCTTCTGGTGCTCGCACACGCAGGTGCTCCTGACAGGGAAGTTTGCGCGGGAACTTTTGAGAAGACTGCCTTAGAGCGTGTCCCTCCTTTATGTGGTTCAGATTTCAGTTTCAGAGCATATTTTCAGATTCATACTCCACCCCACACAGACAGATTTGGGGCCACCTGTTCACTGCACACCCCACCAGACCCTCCCGCTCCCTGCCTCCTGCACACAGCACGCTCTCCAGCTGCCGGGAGGAGAGGCCTCCGTCGGCTCCACTCCCAGGTTCTGTGCTTGGATGGAGTGTAGTCTGCAAAACGATGAACTCAGTGAGACTGACTAGAGGGAGACCATGAACGCCCATAAGAGACCTGTTGTTCTAGGGGTCATAGCCGAGGGGTCCCCAACACCTTCGCATTGCCTGCTTGCTCCCAGGAATGCTTTGTGGCTGGCCACACTCCCCATGAGATATGGCGCCACATTTGTATCTGTGGCTGGTGCCATTGATTTGTTTCCTGAAAGTGTTCACATAAGCCCACTCTTGGTTCTTCAGGCGGTGCCATCGAATCCATCCTGACCTGCTGGCCTCTCCATGCCGAGGAACGTGCGGAGCCAGAGAAAGAAAACCTCTCCGCTCTGCTCTCCTCTTTCCTCCCAGAGATCAGGGCGTGTTTGGCGAGTCCTCTGCAAACTGGCCGTTACTGTGCTCCAGGGCAGAGGCCGTGGGCACGTGACCCACCGCTTCTTTAGGCCAAGGGCCTGGGGCAGGGTTTATCTGCTCTGGGCAGGAATGGGTTGGGTGCTGTTCCACTAGAGAAACCAATACCAGGTTGCCCTTTATCCTGAGCAGAGGTTGTAGAATTTGACTCAGTTTATCATTTAAATGCTCTAAAAAGTCAATAAGGCAAAAAAGAGTACATCAAAACAACTTATTACATTAATAGGGTAAAAATATTCTTTCTTATATGCTTTAGACTCTTAAAGGATGGAGGACAACTAGTTTATTTCACATATAACCTTTTTCTTTCACATTTAGTTTATTTTATATCAGTTTATTTCCATAGAATCTTCTTTTATTTATATCTGATCTTTTTTATATACAACTAGAGGCCCGGTGCACAAAAATTTGTGCACTCGGGGGGCGGGGGGAGGGGAGTCCCCTAGCCCAGCCTGTGCCCTCTCGCAGTCTGGGACCCCTCGGGAGATAACGACCTGCTGGCTTAGGCCTGCTCCCGGGTGGCAGAGGGCAGGCCCAATCCCTAAGTGCAGCCCCTGGTCAGGCTCAGAGCAGGGCCGATTGGGGAGTTGGGGCGCCGCCCCGTCATGCACAGAGCAGGGCAGATCGGG